TACCCAGTTCACTACCAATCTCAATTCAAATCGAGTCAATAAAGCTCGCTCGAATGACTAGTCATCCTGTAGATAAACATATGTCTCTTCTTATCCCTTTCTAGTCTATTATACCACATACATTCCATATATTTCATATATATTTCATGTAGTATGTGCATATATCAAATCATCGACGTCATGACCAGTAGCATGTGCTTATGTCAGCATCACGTGTGCCGAAAAAGTGGCCATAAACAATGTTCCCAAGGTTCCAAGGAGAGTTGCTCAGGCCTACAGGGATCCCGGTGACCGTTCGCACGCGACCTCACTTTGCGTACCTTTTCCAGTTTTCCCTCTTTTCTTAACTCCGAGCCCTAACTCTTCCCTGTGCGTCTCAAGGTGCCTACCTTCAGTTCGACATCATGACATCGCTGGGCGAGGATCTGCTCGTGACAGTGAACAAGCTTCAGGATCTGGTCTTCAATACCATTGGAAATGATTCCTTGGATTTGCCCCAAATTGTGAGTCTGGTCTGGTAGAGAGCCCTCGGAGTTTTGAGAGGAGTTACCATTTCATACCCGGTCAATCCCAAGACTAATCCCCACCTCCCTCTTAGGTTGTTGTTGGTTCCCAGTCATCCGGAAAGTCTTCGGTCCTAGAGAATATAGTCGGAAGGGACTTTCTACCAAGAGGTAGCGGAATTGTCACCCGGCGGCCCTTAATCCTGCAACTTATCAACGTGCCCAGTGACCGTGATGATAAGCCGGAAACCGATGAGGTCCATATCCCACACACGGCTGCTAGTGTTGCCGGTCAACACGAATGGGCCGAATTCCACCACCTGCCGGGGCGCAAGTTTGATGACTTTGGACAAGTGAAGCAAGAGATCGAAGCGGAGACGGCAAGGATTGCAGGAAGCAACAAGGGCATCAATAGACAACCGATCAATCTCAAGATCTTCTCACCTCATGTGCTTAACCTCACACTCGTGGATCTCCCTGGACTGACCAAGGTTCCCATTGGTGACCAACCGTCCGATATTGAAAAACAAACACGGACCTTGATTCTGGAATATATCGCCAAACCGAACAGCATAATCCTTGCGGTCTCTCCCGCCAATGTCGACCTGGTCAATTCCGAGGCGCTGAAGCTTGCCCGTCAAGTGGATGCCATGGGCCGAAGGACGATTGGTGTGCTGTCAAAGCTGGATCTTATGGACCACGGCACCAATGCGATGGACATCCTATCTGGACGTGTGTACCCCTTGAAGCTTGGATTCATCGGCGTTGTCAACAGGTCCCAGCAGGATATCCAATCTGGAAAATCGCTCTCCGATGCATTGCGCGCAGAATCCGAGTTCTTCCGGCATCACCCAGCTTACAGGAACATGGCCAACCGTTGCGGTACGCACTTTTTGGCCAAGACCCTGAACACAACCCTGATGTCTCATATTCGAGACCGGCTTCCGGATATCAAGGCTCGGCTGAACACCTTGATGGGTCAGACTCAGCAAGAGTTGGCCAGCTATGGAAACAAACAGTTCAGTGGCGAAGAACACCGGGGGTCATTGATTCTTCAGCAGATGACCAGATTCGCTGCCTCATTCATCTCATCTATCGATGGAACTTCATCGGAAATCTCCACCAAAGAGCTATGCGGTGGAGCAAGAATTTACTACATTTTCAACTCTGTTTTCGGAAACTCACTGGAAACAATTGATCCCACTCATAACCTGACTACCTCCGATATCCGAACCGCCATCCGAAACTCAACAGGTCCTCGCCCCAGCCTCTTTGTCCCGGAGTTGGCCTTTGATTTGCTGGTCAAACCACAGATTAAACTCCTCGAATCACCCAGTCAGCGATGTGTGGAGCTGGTCTATGAGGAGCTTATCAAGATCTGCCACACATGTGGCAATCAAGAACTGCTGCGTTTCCCTCGTCTCCAGGGGAAGCTGATTGAGGTCGTGTCTGATCTTCTTCGCGAGCGCCTAGGCCCCTGCTCAACTTATGTAGAATCTTTGATCTCAATCCAAAGAGCTTATATCAACACCAACCACCCGAACTTCCTCGGCGCCGCAGCTGCTATGTCTTCAATCATGCAGAACAAGCAGGACGAAGAAAGAAAAGCCGTGCTAGCAGAGGAAAAAAGAAAGCGTGAGAAGCGACGTCAAAAGGAACTGGGAGCTCCCAATGGCAATACGGGAGGCCCCGACGAAGAAGAATATGGTGACAAGCAAAACCTTCCCATCCGAACCCACTCCTCTAAGGGATCGCGGAGCATGTCCCCTCACGTTGGTCGCACAGGCGAGAATGGCATTGCTGCTACTTTGAATGGCGCTCAGTCGAACTATGCTGCGTTCGGTGGCGGTGCCTCGAACACTGCCCGGGACTCGTTCCTGAATTACTTCTTCGGCAAGGAAGGTACTCACAACATGGCCATGTCGCCGGCAGGCATGAACAACAACCGGCAAGGACCACATGTTAGTGAGCCCAGCATTAGCCAGAGCATTCGGCGTGCCGAGCCTCGAGCTCCCATTATGCCGACTGAGGAGTACACTGCACCATCGGAGTATGGCGGTGACATGTCTGTCTTCGTAAGTACCACTGCGCAGGCGTTTTTAAGCTTTACATGCATCTGACTAACTTCAATTCGTATAGCCCCATGAGAACACTGAGCCTGCACTCACAGACCGTGAGATGCTCGAAACCGAGCTCATTCGCCGTCTCATCTCATCATACTTTAACATTGTCCGAGAGACCATCGCAGATCAAGTTCCCAAAGCTGTCATGCACCTCCTTGTTAACCACTGCAAGGACGTAGTACAGAACAGACTCGTGAGCGAACTTTATAAAGAAGATCTTTTCGGCGAGCTTCTCTACGAAGATGATGGTATCAAGGCCGAGAGGGAGAAGTGTGAGCGGCTCTTGGAAACATACAAGGAAGCTGCCAAGATTGTGGGCGAGGTGTTATAGATGGTTTTCTGTTTTTATTATTTTGGTCTGGCTCGGGGGTAGCCTGGGTGATCTTGATTCTGCGTCATGCTTGACGCCTTTCCACTCAAATGGTGTGGAAGTTGTTGCTTTTCATCTCAATTTTATGTACAACTATGGCGGCCTGCACATGATATCAATATATCTTTCCTTCTATTGGTGGGCATCGGTAGCTCTCGGAAGTGTAACCAGTTGTAAGATAAACCCGATATGTCACTGTTTATGTAGAGTATATAGGTCAAGACACTCATCTAATATACAAGATCACTGAGCCTTTTTGGCAACGCTTCGTAAACGTGCACCCTCGAAGCCATATAAAGCACCCCCGACAAACACCAGAGCCGCGCCGACCAAGACACCCCCAACCAAATGATTCCCAAAGAGATAGATGGACAGGAGTAGCGAAACCAATTTGCGGACATTCAAGAAAATAGTAACAGTCAATGACGATGACTTGGCCGACAAAAGATGAACTCCCCGGATACACAGGTACTGCGTCAGTGCATTCATCGCCAGATACGCCACCTGAACCGGCAGATGCGCCAGCAAAGCCTTCACAGCCCCAACCTGGCAGATCTGACCCAGCACCGAGAAAGCAGTGCTCCCAACCGCACCCTTCGAAGCCCACAGCTCCGAATCTAAATGCGACAGCAAAGAAGGTGACGAAGCCACCACCCGCCACTGACCCAGCAGCTGCGGGCAACTCGTCAAGAAAAGCGGCAGAGAAAGCGCGTGCGAGTAGAAAAGTGCCTCTTTCCAATGATCCCTACCGTAAGTCGCGTACAGTCGGTCTGCATAGATCCCCTGGAAGGCAGAGAGGACCATCGCGAGCGCGAGGATCGTGAAGCCCGTCACGGTCGTCATTGTGTCCGCCGCATCGGAGTTGACGTTAATAGACACACCTTTGGATTGCGCGTCGGCCATGGCGGCTGCCGCCACGCCCACTGTCAGCATACTCACCGAAGCGATCTGCCCACGGGAGTAGCGCTTGCCGTTGTATATGTAGCCGATAACCATTGAGGCGACAGGGCCTGCGGACCGGAGGATGATGTGGAGTGGGACGGAGATCTTGTATGCGAAAGCCCAGTTGTTGAGGAGGTTGACGCTTACAAAATAAGCGGTGTATACCACCCATGAGCGTAGTGGGATGGCGCGGGGGTTCAGGAATAGGGCTCGCGGTCCAGCTGAGGGGGATAAGAAGCTCGGGATGGTGAATAGGGCGCAAATGGCGAATTGAGCGAATGTTATTAAGGGACCTGTGCGAGGAACGGGGTTGGTTAGGATATGCGATGTGGTTGTTTTCATTAGTTCTGGTTGTCGTGCTTACCGGCAGTGGGCTGTTCTCTAGAGATATGAGATTAGCATTGTGTTTTGGATTGACCTGGCTTGTTGACTTACTTGATAATGGCCTCTAGCGCAAAGACCTGTACACAAGATCAGTCCTGTTTTACCTCCATAGCAGCGTTGGATGTTCTCGAGACACCCACATTGGCACAGCAGCCCCCGAAGATAAGAGAAATCATGAGAACCATGCTTGTCCAGCTAGGAACCGCCGCATGGGCGGCGGCGGCAACGAGGCCCGGGGCATCTTTCTTCAATTGGGCATAGTCAAGCTTGTCCTCGGATTTTCGAGGTCGAGAAGTGTGGGATGAAGTGAGGTTCGCGTTTTCATTTGTGTTCACAGCAGAGACTCGAGAGCGATTGATCAGGTAGGAGTCATCGTGTCCCCGTTTCGAGGGCTCATGATCATTGAGCATTCTACTTTGGTGTGAGTGACCGAGCTTTTATAGAGAGGAATTGTGAAGATAATTGACTTACCTTTTAAGAGTTGTCAAAGGGCTATGAAATGGTAAAGGTGGTTAGAAGAAAGAAAGCTGGGGCTGAAGATAAGAAAGTGGATCACGAGATATGTACTCTGTACAGAGAACGGGTCTACAACATACATGTAGGTATATAACTGTATAGTATATAGTAACGTAGTAGTACATTAAATAGTTCATTAACTTATGATACATAGTAATACACTCAATCAACAATATCATCGTCGCTGAGAATCAATTTCTCTTCCTCTTCGGGCAGTCGAGATCCAAAAGTATTACTGCTGCGTTGTTTCATACGCAACTGTGCCGGAGACTCCTCCATATCGTCCATTTCATCATTACGAAGATTCTCGTTGGCCCGAATTCTGGTAATTTTATCCAACTGCCAACAATCCGGGTCCTGACGCCGGATTGCAGCCATATAGGGCAATTGATGAAGCAGTAGATCATGTCGGGGCATCATCGTGATCACACTCGGAGTAGTATCTTTTTTCCCTGAGTTGACCAATGCTAACTTTCCTACTTGGAGGGTTTTCCAGGAACTGACCCCCGCGAGGTCAGAGCCATTCCGAGAAAGATGCTGCTGTCCCAAAGGATCGAGTGATCGGTTCATCCATGAGTCGATCAGTCCATCGATTTCCTCAGCCTCTCTCCACAATCGCAGAGATGCCGGGTAGAACATCTTGTAGGCATCACCCGCGCGGCTTCGTCCAGTTCCAGACCCAATCCGTCTCTTGACCGGGTATGGAAGGGCGAAAAGAAGACCACGCGCCGCCACTTGGAAACTCATCTCCTCCTGCCGGAGCACGTCGACGCCGCTGCCGAACGATGTGATTCCGGTTCCTATTCCGGCCCGTCCCCCTTGCCCTGGCCGGCGGTCGGCGCTGAGAATATCGCTATCGGAGAGCGCATCGATGCAGTTATTAAAATAGTCCGTGAAATCATCCCCATCGCAAGATGGAATGTAGTTCTCATGGAGAGCACTGACGAAGGTTGATATGTCAGTGCCGGTCTCATCAACAAGATCATTGACCAATACCTGCGAAGCTTTTGGTCGGGCATATTGGCGTAGATATTCCGGTGGCGGTGGAAGGATCTCGACACCACCCTCGATCAGACTCGGGTCCATGCGTTTGTTGTAAACGATCTTTCCAACAGCGTGGAACATGCCCAGACTTGCCTCTCTCTGAGTTATCATCTTGAGGGACTCTTTCTCCATCGCCGTCAAAGCAACCTCGCCTCGAGCTTTCTTTGTTTTAGCCACGCTACCTCCCCATCTCCCCGTATCGTCCCCCTTGAGACAGAGGAACTCGAGAGAGGAGATTGCACTGCGGATATCGCCGATTTCAGAGATGCTTTCTATAACACCCGGCCCAGGTATCTGGACACGTCTGGAGTTTCGCGCCTCTCTGTCCAAAATGGACCGCAATGCTTTGTGCATAAAAGTGGGGGCAATACTGTTGAAATCCAATATCGTTGTCCCGGGGTGATTGTAGATCGTGGGCCCCAGTAACCGGTGAACTGTAAGGCTATCTGAGATTGAGGACGCAGACCCTAACAAAGTCTCCGACACGATGATCACGATGGGCGGGTGATTCGATCCAAAATTGCCCCGGGCATGATCGTTCGCAGAGGCAGCCAAATATCGCTGAAGAGACGTCCGAAACGCCGTGAGGGCGGAGGACGCCCGGCCAAGCATGGTTGGAAACTCCTCTATAAGGAGTATCCGGTGGTCCCGAGGTTTCTCATCTTTCTGGGCATCCAGCTCGCTGGCATTTTCGAGGTCAAGCCCTCCAAATTTATCACCTCGCCCAAGGAACTCTTCAAAGTGTGCGCCCACGGATTGGTAATCGTGAGCTCCAAATTCCGAAACCGGGGGGTTCTTCCACTCAACAATGTCGTAACCAATTGACTCGGAGAGCAGGGACACAGTGGTCGTTTTCCCGCTGCCTGCCGGACCCCGTAGGACAAGTAACCTCTGCATATTGTCAGAACCGCATTCAAACCAACCTCAAATAATCCTCGGCCGATCAAAAACTCACTTCAGAACGCCTCCCAGCAAAAGCATCTTCCAGCCAATGCTGTACATCCGAGACCTTCTTCTTATGAACAGCCAATTCGCCCAGGTTAGCTGGAGCGAATCGCTGAGCCCATGGTCGACGGTCCGGTTCGCCAACTAGTTGCGCAACCAATGGCTCCTTTGCAGTGCCGTTTCCAGCATCTGTGGACAGAAGGAAGCGTTTTGCCGTTTTCCGCGGCGGTTTGACTGGGGCTTTTAGCTTTGGCTTTGGCGCTGGCTTTGGTGCAGGTTGACGAGTCTGGCTAGAGCTCGCGGCCGTCAGACCCGTTGCCGCCCGCTCATTAGCTAGGTGCTGTGTGAAGATTTCATCGTAGGAGTCGTAATCATCCTCAATCAGGTCCACGTCGACAGTCTCCCTGACCGGAGGGAGGGACTGCTTCTCGGCCTTTTGTGGTGCCCATCGCTGCCCCTCTGTTGCGGGTTGGAAGAAGCTGTGCAAGGACTTGGATTTCGAGTCTGGGTTTGGTGTAGGTTTCGTCTTTTTGTTTGGAGAAGGCGAGGAGGAGGGGAGCCGGGTTGATGGTGTTGTACCGCGCGAGTAGGAGGATTTTGGGCGTGAGGAGAGGGCGAAGGGTTCTGTTGGTTCAATAGGACTGGAGCTATCTGAGATGATGACCGGGGCGGCTTTTCGTTTTAATTTTGCTTTGGGCTCTTGCGTTGAATCCTTAGATTTGCGTTGTCTCTTTGGAGGACGACCGTCCATGATGAGTTGGTCAAAAACGTGGAGAAAGTTGAGATACGCGTCCGATAAGCTTATGACGCCAAGCGGTGGGCCATTTGCCAGTTTTATAGATGTACGGAGTAAAAGAGATGAAGATATTGAAGACATAGAGATATATAAACGCAATTGTTAATTAAATTATATAGATTAGAACATTTATATTCAGACAAATCGCACACCGGGTATATTGACCAGAATCTGAGTCGGCAGAGCCAAAGAAACCAAAATCCCCCAAATAACCAAAGAGAAAAGAGAAAAGAGAAAAGAAACCTATAGAGAGGTCAAGTACTTCTTATGCGCCTCCAAACACATCATAGTAATAATCTTCATCCAAGCCATCTCTCGCAGGGACCTGGGGAGCCTCACCGGCGAAAGTGGCATCGTCAAACCGTACATTAAGCAGGCGGATTTTCAACCCATAATTGCTGACCAGGTCAATCAGCTTGCTTGTCTCTGCAGTGATGGGCTGCTGATTGAGGAGCATCAGCAGACCATCTAGCCATTCGGACGCAATGCTGTGCGAGGACGGCCGCAGCGTGAGTAGGACTACCTCCTTTTGGGTGGCTCTGCTGCTGGACCGAGCGTGGCTGTGATTTTTTCCATGTCCGGTGGCTGCGGAGGTCGCATATCCGTGGATGGTGATCTTGGTTGCGGGTTGACGGGGTGCAGTCTTCACGGTGGATGTAGAGGAATGATCTGGGTTGGTGGAGACGTTGGAGACTACAGATGAGACGATTGAGAGATCGACTGTTGAGGGCACGCCCCGGTGTTAGCAGCAAATACAAGATAGTAGGTGTTGGTTATAGGTAAGCGCTTGGTGACACTCACTTTTCTCTGGGAGGGTGTCCAACTCCGGAGCTCGGTCACCCATCAGGTTAAATTGACCGAAATGCAAGTATCGTCGGTTATGAGAGAGCTGGGCATATTGATACGTGGCAGTAGATTTCTGCACTGCCGCGGACTCTAACTTGGAGTGAGAGTCTAGAGCGAACCAGCTGCCTTGGAGCAAAGATCGGATTCGTTGCTCCTTGACAAACTGAAGAGCCTCATGGTGAAGTTCCTCGCGCACCTGTCGCAAATGTTGGCCCCATGCATCCTCGTACGTAAGTTCAAGGAGTTCCATCTGCAGCCCGCGCAATCGGTGGTATTCGAAATCGGCCAGCTCCTCTTCGACATCCTGGACATCCTTGATCCGAGCAGCTCCGCCAACCACCGACTCAATGAGGATGCGCACGAGCTCAATAATCTTGTCCAAGTCCTCTTCCTCGGCGGCAGTCGCCTTCCACAGGCGGAAGAAGGCCTGTAAGCCGGCAACATGTAGTCGGGTCCAATGCAATAGCAACGGCTGGAATAGTTTATCAAAGCCTGTGCGAGACTCTGAAATGAGATATGTTTTGGTGTCATCCATGTCAGACTTTTCGACCTCGAAATGCTCGTACAAGATGGATGTGACGGCCAAGGATGCCCGAGCGATCGGACACCGTTGTCGTGATGGCTTTGTAGAATGCTCTAAGAGCATATTTTGGAACTCATCCCCATGACTGCGAACATAATCCGCCAGATCCATCATACCCAGGAAGCCGACCTCGTAGAATTCCCCCGCCGGGCTCTCCGTCTCAAACCCAAGCCGCCTCCATTTTTCCGGATGGTGTCGTCTAGAGCGCCGTGTATCCTCGCCATGCTCGGTAGCCTCGTCGGTGTTCTTCTCCGGGTTGCTGGCGAGATAAATCCCCTTCAGCGCGCGGCGATGCTCAGGCTTCTCCTGGTTGACAGGGATATCTCGCCACTTGCGGAGCAGGATCTTGGTGAGGGACTGGAATTCCAGCAGCGGATGTGCCAGATCCTGAAGGGCGGAATCTTGCATAAGCACGTAGACTGCTCTGATAACGCCCAGATCCTGTAACTTCTGAATAAACTTAGGCCACTCCGCCTCAGGGTCGTGGGTGATGGAGTCGCGCATGAGCGAGTTGATCAATTGGAGCGCATTAGCACACAATGCATGGTCCGCAGAGGATAATCGGCTGACAAGCATTTCCAGAAACTGGGGGTAAATGGCGATTGCAGGCTTCAGGGCACGGAAGCCAAAGTTGTTGACCTGGGACGCGCGATTCCCCATGTACGGGTGGGAAACAATAGAGACGAGAATAGACATGGCGCCGCGGAGGATATTGACCAGGGGATGGGTGACGATCAGCTCGACAATCTAGAAAAACATTCGCATTAGCATCTGACATGACCGCGGAAAGGGAACAGGGACACAGGTAGAGAGCACTGCAATGGGTTCCAGGATAACTCACGCGCTCAACCAATTCCTGGTCAACACACTCCCACCCCTTGTCGACATCGAGTAGCCTTGAGAAACTGGTCAAACTATATGCCAGGGTATTTCCGCTTGCGTGAAGGGTTAGGTAGCGTAATCGTATCAGGCCGCCCTCTGCGATGAAGATGTCGGCGAAAGACGGGTCTCCGATGTTGCTTTGGAGCTTGAAGACGGCCATTTTGCGCACGGCATCTTCATCGCTACCTAGGCGCTCGACCAATTCGGCGACATTAACGGTTTCCATGTCTTTGAAGACAGTCCGAAAGACGGGGAAAGTTCAAGAAGACAAAGAGATCGGGGGGGGGGGGGTTGTGTTGTGGGGCAATTGGAATTTAAACGGTGATCTCTCGGTGATCTCGATCCTTTCAATTTAAGCATGAATAGATTAAATATTTCAATATTCCCCAAGAAGTTGAAGTTGAAGATTGGAGGGAAAACAAGAATAGCTGGGACACTAAATAGTTGTATGTCTCCCGAGGTCAACCCCCTACATTTTTATACACCCAACCTCGTAATTTCCCTGATCTATACATTATATCAGGGCTATATCTACGTATCTGATTGTGTATACAGCTGGAATTTCAATGTAATCCTTTTAATATATGTTATTTTGTATGCATTATGTTCGTTACATGAACCCTAACAATTAGTCCGGAGTGATTCTATACAAAAACAAGATACGCCAAATCCAATCCAAACACCATCTTTCCCAAAACGCCACAGGATGTAACCTGTTTTCTTTTCTTTTCCCAATATGTACGACGGGCTAGCCGTCCTCGTCAGTCGTAAAGATTGCAGTGATCAAGATTAGCGGCGCCAGCCCACATTCCAAATCACATGGGCAATGTCTCGGGCGGTGTTCACAGTGTCCACAACCCGGCCCAAGATACTACTGCTGGGGGTCTCGGTCTCGCCTTCCGGCATGATCATGCCCGAAGCAGTCAACCGGATCGCCCTATCCGATGCTGGATCATCTTCGATGAACCATGCGCGATCACGATCGGGATAATTGCCCGTGAAGTCCAGGCTGGGATCTTCGCATTCATCCAAAAGGAAGTTGGCCGAGGGCTCTGATGGCCCTGACGGACGTAGTGTCTCCACCGAGGGAGTCGGTGATACCGTCCGGGTGGGGGTGGTGGACCATCGGTCAAGGATCATCTGAGCGATGGGCTCGGGGGGATCCCCGCGATACTTGAGCGTGGTTGAGGGGAGAGGGGCGATGGTTTTCCCATCGCCGCTGAAGTTGTTGCGTGGGGTGGGGCGGTTGCTCAGGGAGGATCGGCTGGAAATTTGTCTCATCAAGACTACGCCGTCGTCGGAAGATGACTCTTCAAAGGTGACCGGCCAATCGTCCTCGTAGCCCTTGGCTTCGACCGCGATGCATTGTACGACTTCATTGTTGAAGTGAATATGGCGCCGTTCACCCGGTGATGTCATTCCAGACGATGATGAGGTAGTGAGAGTCCCACCGAGAGAGTAGGTCGAGCTTCCAGTCCGGTGATGCAATTGGTCCAAGTCTGTGTTTGATCTTGGGAACGGGGGCCGAGCCCAGCTGTTCTCGGCTTCTTGAGCCTTGAGGATGGCCCCGGCATGTTGAAGTAAGGTATGTTGAGATAGTGACCGCTGAAGAATAGCCTCGGATGCGGTCTTCTTCTTCAAGATTGGCTTCCGGTCGAGATAAGAGTTTGGTGTCTCCAAGCGACTTGGAGGGGGAGATGGAGAGGTTGCACGTTCGACGGAACTTTTTAATGGGCCGTAGAGCCAGGTGACATCGCAGTCCTTCAGCCTGGTTCAAAGTTTAGCGGGGTGAACAAAAGACGAAAGGATCAATGGGATCAATGGGATCCATAACCTACCAATTGAGACTTTCCGGCGATATCGTCTTCAGGTTGTGTTTGGCCTTGGCCCATGTCCTCCAAGAGGCATTCTCCAATCTAACTCCATTACTATAATCGTTCCTCCGACTCGTCACATAACGCCAGGAAGACCAGATATCCTCCTCCTTCCAGTCATGTGAAAGGTAGTCCACATGCCTAGATGGCTCATCCTCAATTAAGGTGTCATCTGCCGATGGGGTCTGTAACGTCCACGAAGATGGGTGTGATTCTGTTGATGCGTCGCTCACGTCCTCTGGTTCTTTGGCGCTGTGAAGGGATGCTGTGTCGTAGGAGGGTAGGATGAGTTCGTTTTCCGGTGCCAGGGGGTCTGGAGTGGGCGCGTAGGCGAGTTCTTCGGGGATAGAATTGAAGCTCGTAGAAGGAATCGCAGAGGGTAAATTTGCGACTGGGGAGGAGTCCCTCGCGTGACAGTCATCTTGCATGGGTGATTTTCTGGAGATGGCGTGATCTTCTAAGAAATATCGTTGCGTGGTGGGACCAGTGGGACACCGTAAAGGATCTGGGAAGGGCGAATGGGTTTCGCGAGGAGTCAACAACGTCGTCATTTCCCTTTTTCTTTGCAATGATGTGATTAATGAGGGAATAGTTTCGAGGCAATGGCCATCTAAAGATATAGCATATCCAGGTGATTGCACACTGGGGACAATATCCCAAGGATGAAGTAGGGAAGGAGAGAAAAAGAGGCGAAGTAATGGAAGAAAAGGAAGAAAATGAAGAGGAAGAGGAAGAGGGAGAAGGAGAGAAAGAAGGAAAGATAACCAGAGAGAGTCTGTGGAGGTGGAGATATGACTGTTCCCGGTTTTCTGGGGACTTTGGGGTTAGGGGAGGGGGGATTGGAGGGTTAGAGGAGGGTTAAAGGGATAAGAAAAAAAATAAAGCAAGTTATATTTTATTATATATTATGTATTATATCTGCTATAATATAATATATCTAAAATATATCTAAGATAGACATAAAATATATGTATAACATAGTATGTTGTAGAAGTTGCCACAATCGAATCCATTACGTCTAGTTCTAGTATTAGTCTTACTTGGGTCTAGTCCAGTCAGTCGAGCTATTATTATACGAGATAGTATTCTAATACTATACCAATACATAGAATACATAGAATAAAATACTCATCTAGACCGCACGATAAACCGTTTTGTCTCCACCAGATATGCAAGTCCTTTTTTAGTGGAATTGTATGCGTCTTTGTATAGGTAGATCCTGTGGGGTATACCGAGTATACGGAGTATATAGGATATACTATAAGAGTATTTTATGTACAATAGCTAGAACTAGAACTAGAACTGTTCAAGAAATATAAAGTATACTTACTCCGTACCAACTCCCCACCATAATCGCCATCACTATCGGAGTATCACGGAGCCATTCGGCCTAGAGCCTATAGCCCCCCGATGCATCCGCAGGGCCTGAGCACGTTAACTTTTCCAAGAGAGTCGGACCCCTTTGATCCACACGAGAGTTGACTGAATCTTTTTTGAATATATTTTTTATGAATATACTTACTCAACTGCCTAGGTAGGTCCTTAATCACAAGTTACTAACCGAGGCATTGGCGTTTCTAGAATGTCATGGTACGTACTTTTGTTATAGTAACCCATACTTTCTGCCTAGGTAGAGCTAGAGGACCCTGTTGGCTGTGTCAAATCATAGTATCAGAGGAAAACTTAGCCATGATCGACCGGAGATACGAGCCGAAGCTAAAAGCACAGAGCAATACTCCGTACGGAGTACAGAATATCTTAGAAGGGTTTATGGGGTATAAAAGATAGGAACCCAGTGGCGTATATGTTTAACTTTAGCCATTGACATCTTCGACTTTTTAGATTCCCTCAATTCCACAATTTCCCAATTTCCAACTAACTTCCAATGTTGTACACATGCACGGACAGCTCGAGGACATGCAAGATGGAGCTAAACATAACACAAGAAAGAAAAAAAAAATAGAAGGAAAAAAAAAAAGGGTACACACAGAATTGCCTTTGTCTGTGCGCTTGCATCGACAGCATCTGGGCAACCACTCACCGAGGTCAGTCATGATTGGCGGGTCAAAACCCTCGACATCGATTCTTCGGAGGCGCAATTGTTGACGCAAATCGCAAGCCAGTGATAACCGCCCGTCGCTGCATGCTACCGTGAAGTATTCGCGTTCAGGCCCTCTTAAATCTGGAGACTGGAAACCTGAAACACTATCTATATGGACCTATTCCTATACCATTGTAAGTTTCCATGTTCTGGCCCATCGTTAAAACCCCATCTCTCCGCGGAGGCTTGATCGGTAGGTAGCGCTAGTGCGATGTACACCCCAGTCTTTTCCCCACGGGCCTCTTTAACGTTTGTCATATTGAACGCCGATGATTGGCCCTGGACAGTATCAACCAAAGATACCTTCTCTGCACTGCTTTGACGCATGTCGCCAACACTTATATCCACAGGGGCAATCAATTCTCAATCTTCCCCACTGGCTTCGCGTCCAAGGCTCCTGATAATGCAGCTAGCGGATGGAGACCGGTTTTGACACCCGCCTGAATGCAAAATGCGAGACAAGACAGGGATTGCAAGGTTGCAATTGACTGCAATTGACTATCTTATCAGCCAATTGCGGATCGATCGTCAACCGGCGCACCAATTGGCGCGCCTGGCCCCTATCGTGATGATGGCCACAGCTGCACGTTAAACGGGTTCATGTCGAGGGATTTTTCGTTTTCTGTTTTCTGCATCGCCCCCGACTTTCCAGTTTCAGTCAACCGGGGGATGTGGGATTTAGCCCCTCCATCTGGGGGAGATTGGATCCATCGCACACCTGTCAAAAGGAGAGATTAGCAAAGATATGCAATGTCGTGCTGATGAGTGACGTTTGTCCAATCTGGACTTGTAAGAATGAACCCATTCGAATTGAGCATGTAAAGTGATCCAATAATGAGCAATGAGCACTACCATTATACTAATTTGACTAGTTTGCTTCTAAAGTAGCAGGGGGTATACGGAGTACAGAGTACAGAGTAGAGAGGGGAGACAATTAGTGACCGGCGTCATTGCACGTGATATTCCCAAATCGGCTTAGCTGGCAGAACTGCCCCTCCGCCCCCGCCATATGTTGATTCTCTGGCAGAGAAGAACAAGTCTAGACCGATACCAGTTACCAAGGTACTATTTTCATACATTATGGCTGAGGTAGAAACAACCCCAGCTGTGCAGGCAAGACATGTTGTCTACTGTGGAGGTGAGGACCCCCGTGGCACAAACCGCAACCCCAATTCGTTTGAGAACATAGCGCTGATGGAATCTCGATAGTTTGCACGTTACCCCCCGAGGTATGACCTTCGAATTCCCCCCCCCCCCCCCCCCCCCCCCCCCCCCCCCCNCCCCCCCCCCCCCCCCCAAGTCCCCAGCTCTCAGTCCCTCAGAATTGAAGGGCCCAGCCCACTCCTTTTCCCCGCTTCTTGCCCCTGCTTCTTAGCTCTCATCATCCGGGTCCCGGCGTTGTCGTGCGTGGCATAGCTCCTAGCCACTAGAAAGCGCCCACAGAGCCAGCATAAATTGCCGTTTGAATTATACTTGCATTGAAGATCTAATATGTTTCTGACGTGCGGGATTTTTTTTGGTCTAGTACTGCGAATTTGGAGGTACCGCTAAGAAATGCGAAGAATGGCTCAAGGATAACGAGTCGGATCTGTGGGACACACTATACTCTGAAGGTACGAAGCCTCCATGCTACTTGTATGGCTGATCACTACCTGCATTTGGCAATCCGCAATCCCGGAAATGGGAAATACCGACAATCTAACACTGGTTTTCTTACTATCAGATGCCCTGAACGCCAACCTCTCCACCCTCTCTGTCTCAGCGCAAGAACGCGCCGCTAAAGACGCCGCTAAGAAGGAGGCCAAAGCTGCCGCTAATGAGGCGCGCGATACCGAGCGCAAGGCCGCCTCTAAGATTCAGATTAAGCGTGTCGAACGGAACAAGCGCAAGTACGTGACGGTCGTGATCGGGCTGGAGGTCTTCGGACTGGAGAACAAGAAGATCGCAAAGGACCTGGGCAAGAAGTTTGCTACGGGTTCTTCGGTGACCCGCTCGCCTGCGGGTATCGAGGAGATCACTGTCCAGGGTGATGTCAGTGATGACCTGCGTGAATGGCTCCTCGAGATTCACGGCAAGAAGATCCCCGCGTCTAATATCGAATTGATTGAAGACAAGAAGAAGAAGAAGAGCGAGGGGCCGATGGTATAATGACGAACACGAATCCTTTGCGGACTGGGTATCATGACATAAATCTAAAATAAAAGTACAAATTGAAGACAATTCAAGCACAAAACAGAATCGGTGGAAGCACAAGCTAGGTCGAATCTGGGAGGTCTAGGTCTAGTCCAAGGCTCCGGAATACAAAAAGACAACATTTCATAATTCATCCAGCACGCTCAAAGCATCGTGTTTCGCAGGTGATGATGCATCATGCCCTGACCGGATCGTCGAAGTCGGACCAGCCTTGTCCAGGCTCTCGCGGCGATCTGCGAGGTTGGACGGATATCGAACAGGCCCTGCATCAGACCCTGCACCTTTTCCCCCGAGACTGAGAACCTCATCCCACACTTCAGACTGAGGTGGCACAGAGGGCGAAGAGTGGTTTGACGTTGTCAAACGTGAGATCCCAGCGTGCGGAGACCAAAACTGTGGCCAGTTCTGGAGGACTAGAGCGAGTACAAGCACCAATAGCGCGCTTGTGGCAATGCCCCAGAAGATGCGTAGTCGACGACTGGTCCGGGTTTGCCATTCTGTTTCCCGCTGTTCCCAGCTATCGATTTCGTGCCGTACAGTCTCGAGTCGTTTGCCTAGTTCTTCGACACGCTGTCGGCCGGCTTTCATGCGTTGCTCTAACGCGTCGGCCTTTTCGATCTGTGGCTCGAAGCCCTTTAGGTCATTGAGTTGTTTGCGGATATCTTGATCTAACCCGGCGGTTTCGCGTTCAAAGTCGTTGAGAAGTGTTGACGCTGAGTCGGAGAGTTCCTGGAATGACGAGATAGTCGAGTGGAGTGCTGTGATTTTCTCAAGTAGATTGTAATAGGTGTAGTCCAGCCGACGGGTGACGTCTGTCGCTAACGTCCCAATCGAAGTCAATGCAGACCGTAGATACCTTGAAAGGGCCGTTAGTCAATCTCCTGCGTGCAAACAAGTCACAAGAAACATACTCCTCGCCCAACTTCCTCCGCTTCTTGACCTTCTCTAGGTCATCCATAGACAGAATCTCGTGCCGGCGGATAGGCCCCAATTGCTCATGCTGCTCAGGTGTATCAAGCAGACTTCCGTTCCGACCATCCGATAGTCCAGTAGTCGACTCAGACCCCCAACGACTTCGGGTCGTCTCCCTCGTAACCGGCCTCAGCAACCCATCATCACCCTCGCGGTCCTTATCCTTCCCGCCCGACCATGTAGGGAGCAATCCCCTCGCGCTCGCCGAGGAAGCTAGATGGCTCATGGGATTAGGGAAGCGCAGTTCCCGCGATTTGCTATATTTGCGGCGGTGGGACTTCGTGCCATCGAAGAGGGATGGCTCTTGCGACTGAGGGGATGGAGATGGACGAGTCCGATGCTCTCCTTTGGGGGAGATTTGGCGGTCATCGGAGCCATAGCGGTGTGAGCGGCGGGACTTTCTTCGGTCTGTTTGGCGGCTTTCTTGACTACCAAATCTAGAGAGGTCCTCTAATTTGGACTGGAGGTCGCTGGCTTGCTGGTTTTGGCTTGGGCTTCGGGTAGAGGCTTGGGTGGGTGGGAATGTGGCAGAGGCTGCTCGGGATGTTGAGAATGGTGCGTATTTATATGGAGGTTCCATGGTGGTACATTCTGAGAAGAAAGCTTGGGAAAGCTTGGAAGCTTGGAGGCTTGGAGGCTTGGTGTTGGTGTTGGAGTGTGGAGTTGGTCCCGGGGGTATCGATGACGCCAAGGCTAAAGACCGATCTGCGACTCTGCAGCTGACAGTATCAAACATTCTTCCCTACTACCTATAATGTATTGGTATATGATTACGCTAAAGAATAGATTGTGATTATAGAAAAACATTTGTCTTGCTCGCTAGTAGTGACCTATGACCTAACCTCAGAAAAAACGCCTGTAATCGAACAGCCCACGCCGGAATGAGTGTCCAGTCTGTCCCGCTAGGGACAAGGAAGAAGGAAGAAGCCTCAACAAGCCGATGTATATACACACAATGCAGTCCTGGAGGAGATGGAGAGATGGTATTGCCGGAGATATAGAGAAGGCCGTGAACAGCTTCAAGAGCTGAGCAGCTTGTTGCGCTTCTCTCTGCGCTTGAGACGGTCGAGTCTCTTGTGGTGCATCTTCTCGGCCATCTTCTCGTAACGTAGCTTCTCCTCCTTGGCTTCTCGGCGGTCCTTGATGCGCTGGATACGGGCCTGGAAGGGTTCATCGGTTAGTGATACCATCTTGGGAAGTCATGTGTTGTCGGAGATAATATCATTATTATGAAGACAGGCTGACCAGAAATGAAGACCAGACAAAGACATAAATGGGTAAAGGAAGTGAGACAAATCAAGAGAGAAAAGGAATAAGATCGACATACCTTCCTTTCAGCCTCGGCCTCTTCCTTCATCTCACGTTCAAGTTCCTTAACCGCGTCGCTGTGCTTCTTGAGCTCTTGACGCTTAGCGTATGAGGTCAAACCCGCAGTAGGGCGGAAAGCCTTATTGGTGCCATGCCAGTTTTTACCTGAAGGTCCGATGGGGTTAGCCGGGGAGATGAGGAACAGTAGGGAAGTGGGGACTGGGTATTATTTTTTTTTTTTTTTCTCACTTACCATTTTTCCGCATGCCGGTGGTCGGAGGCACGACTGGTGTCGTGGCCGTTGAGGTAGACATAGTAGGATATGTGACTTGGAAAAAAAGCAATTCCAAGTGGAAGATTCAAGAAAGTGGATTGGGTGGGAAGTAAACGTGAAGCAAAAGAGACGAGGCAAAACGGAGACCGAGTTTTTTCATTGATTATCTCGATCTGATAAAATGGCTTGGCGTCCGCTAAAGAGAGAAAATGCCTTCGGCCCAAATTTCCTGACTCCACCTTTCTTCTCATTTCCCACTTGACTTCCTCCGACAGGCTGTTTACAATATTTAGTGCCCATTTTCTTCCTAGGTTTCGGGCCTGTCCTCGTTTCCTTTCTCCTCGTTAGCTTCTGCACGGTGGCTTGGCACCTTGTAGGCTTATCAAATCCCTCGTTACACCGCCCCCCCCACCAGTCCATTTCGCTTACTACTTATACCTCCGGTTCCCCGTCTTACCATGATCCCTCGATAACACTCTTTCAAACTTGTACTTGTCATTTTCTCCGATCCTACTTGATGGCGGCAACAGAGCATGCGATCACCATCAGTGAACCGATGGAGCTGCCATCGCTCCCGCCCAACCAGGGCCTTGAGGCGATAAAGGATATCATATTTGGATCGGTAAGGAAGTCCTTCGCGCATGCATGTGAGCGATCTAGACTGACACTCTCCAAAGTCGGCAGGAATGGCAGGCAAACTCATCGAGTACCCCTTTGACACTGTCAAGGTCCGACTACAGTCACAACCCGAACACCTCCCTCTCCGATATGCAGGACCACTGGATTGTTTCCGCCAGTCTTTCCGAGCTGATGGCTTCCGGGGACTATATAGAGGCATTAGTGCACCCATGACCGGGGCTGCGGTGGAGACCAGCTGTCTCTTCTTCAGTTATCGTCTCATCCAGGATGCCCTGCGCGCAACGGTCTACCCAGGCGTTGAGCACCTACCATTCTTTGCTCTCATTGCTAGCGGGGCTCTATCCGGCTCTGTGACCTCGCTGGTACTTACACCTATTGAACTGGTGAAATGCAGGATGCAGGTCCCCGCGGAGTCAGCAGGCCTCAAACCCTCTGGCCCTATGGCCATCGTCACAAACATTTTCCGACATGAAGGGTTGGCAGGATTCTGGCGGGGCCAGATGGGAACTCTAATTCGGGAAACTGGTGGAAGCGCAGCGTGGTTTGGCGGATATGAGGGCGTATCATCGCTCTTCCGCAAGTATAACAAGTCGAACCCGCAATCGACCTCCGACTCGCTCCCCATCTACCAACAAATTATCGCAGGAGCAACGGCTGGAATCAGCTATAACTTCTTGTTCTACCCGGCCGATACAATCAAGTCTCGCATGCAGACTGTAGACGTCTCACGTCTGCCGGCCCATGCTCAGCAACAGACCTTCTGGGGCGAGACCAAGGCTCTATGGAGGCAACAAGGGCTCAAGGGCATGTACCGCGGGTGCGGGATCACCTGCGCGCGCTCGGCACCCAGCTCGGCCTTTATTTTCACTGTTTATGAAGGATTACGGAAATATTTTGGATGAAAAAAAGAGAGACTACTACAATTCCCCTGCATATAGAAATTTGTCACCATTTTATCGGTCTAACTGAGGTTGGACGATGACCATGTTGGCTCCCATTTTCCTTTTGAATCTCTCATACCTTAACTCTTTGGATTTTGGCATCGTGCGCTATACCCCGAATACATTCAAACACGATTCTTGACTCTTCTACATTTTGTCTCATTTTTATCTTGACTTGCTCGATCAACGATCCCCAATGCGCAAGCCCTATTTCGGTTTTACTTGCTCGATTTGTGAGGCATCGAATCGTGCCAAAAAAAATGGGCTTTGCTGGCTTGATATACGCAAGGCCAAGCATCTCCAGTCCAGCCGTGGCACTACCTGGTGGACCCTTCACGCGTCAATTGAGGTTATGGACGTGAACCACTCGGTATCCGAATCTGGTGAACGATCTATAATTCGGGCTTTTTCGGTCATTTTGATCTGTTTATTATTATTATTTTTGTATAGAATAGAATCTGGCTATTGCAGATAAACTTACATTCCAATGTCTAACACTTCGAGTGACTCATTATCATACAAGTCCAAAAAACCAAAAGCCAGCCCTAAGCGAAGATGACTGGAATATGGAGATGCCCAGGTGCCTAGGCGTAGGCTGAAGGTTACGTAAGACCTTGACCTCCAGGGCTGAGCAGGGATATCTACCTACACACCACACCCCTTGATCGTATTTCCACGTACTATCAGCTTGTGAACATGTCCGATGTCGAGCCCCAATATAACAGCCTCGTCGTCTGGTCTCCAATTGAATAAACGCAGCTGCTCGCGTTGCAACCAAAGAAAAGTGCGGTGTGATAAAGTATATCCCTGCAGCGCATGTGTGAAAGCCGAAGTGCAGTGCAACTTTCCAGGTCCCAAAAGAGCACGGCGAACATTGAACAGGCCACCAGTTAGTGAGTTACTTATTAGCTTAAAGCTTCTTGAAGAAGAGGTTGAGCAACTTCGCTCAACCCGCCGCAACCCGGATACCGATCATCCACCGGACTTGGATAATCGTCCGAATCTGGAAAAGACAGTCAGAAAGACAGAATTGCTGGTTCTTAAAGAGGGAAAGAGTCGGTACGTCGGCGATGAAGCTTCTGTTGCACTAGGACAAAAGGTGAGGATAGTGAGTTACTGCTAGTATTGTATAGGCCTCAACTAATTTGCTGTGCAGATCTCTGAACTTCGTGATATTATTGAAAGCTCTTCAGATGAAGAGTCATATTCACCCGATGTGAAGTATAGTCCCGTTACCCTGCCAGAGGGTGGACTTCTTGGAAATTGCGAATCCACCTGGTCTCTTGATTATTTTCGCCTCCATTACTGTCAACCAGCAAGGCTTGATGCATTATGGAGAACGTACCAAGAGAATGTGGCACCGTTGATTGTCATACTTCACAAAGCTACCATGACAAGGATTGTCCAAGACGCCTGTGCTGGCGTTGAGTTAACCCCTTCAGATGAGGCATTACTATTCTCTGTGTGTTATGCCGCTGTGACGAGCATAAGAGTACACACCTGCCCTTCCATACTTGACACCGACCACGCTACAGCCATCCAAGACTGCAAAAAAGCAGTGAGCCAGGGACTTCGCCGAGCCAACTTCATCAATTCTCAATGCCTATCTGCTCTTCAAGCGGCCGTGCTGTTTTTGCTATGTTATCGAGTAGGTGGTGATTTACGTCTTGTATGGGCTGAATCTGCCGTCGTGATACGAGTTGCACAAGCACAAGGTGTCCACCGCGATGGACGGAATTTTGCATTACCACCCTTAGAGACAGAGATGCGCCGGCGGTTATGGTGGCATATCTGCATGCTTGACATGTTGTCTTCGGGAGATCAAGGGGTCGATACCCAGATTAGATCCGAAATGTTCGACACACAGTTTCCGAGTAATGTCGACGATGATGATATTGCCTTGTATATGACAGATCAACCACTACCGAAAACCGGATTCACGAATACCACCATCTGCATCATGAACTGCCAGATCATGACCGAAATGCTCTGGCCGCGTCAAGGCGGATACTCGGATATGTCCACGCACGACCGTGAGAATCTCGTCACAGCTCTAGGGAAGAGCCTTCATGAACAGTATATCGATTATTTCAACCTGGATATTCCAATACATTGGGTGGTCGCAACTATCGTGCGACTACAACTATCCAAGGCGTGGCTAGCGACTCATTTCCAGTCCGAGGAATCGGACGTGAAGACTTACCGCCACAACGACCGTGTTTTTGAGACCGCTGTCGAGCTTGTGCAGTTCTCGTATCTCCTGCAAACCAACGAAGGAACATCGCAGTGGAGCTGGCTATGTAAAAGCTACAAGGAATGGCATGTGGTCGCTTTTATACTTTCCGAGCTGTGCTTGCGTCCACTTAGTCCCGAGAGTGACCATGCTTGGGATGTCGTGACCAAAATGTATGGGTTGTGGCAGCAGGATATGCCGCGTACTGATGCTATGCTCCAGAAGCCCTTGGATCGGCTCATGGCGCGCACGGCCTCATCGCGAGCTGGTCAACAAGGCCAGGATAGCCAGACATCATTCATTGGAGAGGCTTTGTCCGATATGTCCGACGTGTCGTTGGGATTGGGTGACACCGATTCTGATTCACTTTTCAATGGCCTGGACTGGCTTTCTGGGTCTTTATTTTAGCCCATTACTCTTTCTACCTGAGCAATTCTGTATCAACACATTAATTCCCTAATAACTAGTACTCTACAATTCAAACAACCTTCACCCTTCTACCCTAGCGTGTCTCAAATTTGCTATCCTCCTTCAACCAATCCCCAAAGGCCTTCAAGCCAGGATTCAACTTTTTTAAAGTCGGAATATCCGCACCATATCCCTCATCATGGAACCATTTGAACATGACACCCAGCTCCTTGACAGCAGCCATCATCAACCTAACCGGAATGCTAAAAGTAGTCGGCACATTCTTGCCAGTCAACTGCTTGAAAGTCTCCGACATCTGGTCAAACGTCAATTCATCCCCAGCAAGCGAGCAAGCATGATTCTTCAACGCCTCAGGATTCGTGAATGCCGCAGCCGCAAAGAACCCAATGTCACTCGTTGCGACCAGTTGCAGCGGCTTGCCCTCCAGAGACATCTGCCATGCAGTCGTAAACACCTTCCCGAAGTAATCCGGTGTGAGATTCTCGAAGAAGGCAACGGGACGTAGAATCGTCCATTCCATATCGGTCCCTTTTGCTTTCTCTTTGAGATGCTTCTCGATCTCGTGTTTGAAAATGAAATGGGGGACTTGAGTTGGGTTTTGGTCTGATCTCTCGCCACCGCGGTCGACAGAGCTGTACACGAAGTACTTGACGCCTTGTTTGACGGACTCATCTATCAGAGCCATTCCTTGGCGTCTTTCGTCGTCGTTTCTGGGATTGGCGGTCTGTTTTTTTGGTCAATCAGGGTATGTATTGAGGATACTGTTTCTTTCTGTGACTTACTTGGACGCTGAACACGCCCCAAACTGGGGTTGAGGTTTGACGCTTTACATTCTCGAAGATGGCAGCCGGGTGATCGAGGTTGCCTTGGATCAATGTGATATTAGGAGACTTCTAGGCGAGTTTCTTTGCTGAAGCAGAATTGGCATCACGTGTCACGGCGAGGATCTTGAAAGGGACACTTTTCTCCAGAAGGCTAGTAATTACGGAGCCTCCTTGTTTGCCTGTAGCTCCGGTGACGAGAATTGTGGTCATTGTAGGATAGTCTCGAGGGTAGTATAGATAATAGACTGTTATAAATTATCAGTGCTAGATGATGTATCCTTTAAATAGTCAGTTCCAATGCTGTTTCTAAGATTTCTAAGATCTTGAGGTCTTCGGGATGAGTCTCAACCCCGGATTTGGTATGAATGACGTCACCTATTCTCGAGATGATCAAGTGGCGATAAAAGAAGAGAGTCATATAGAAGTCAGAAGACCGCATAAGAACATAAGATATATGTCAAATAGTATTGTTCACGGCAATAATACTCATTCCCCTATGCACTTCCGTATCGGCAGCATCTAAAAACTCCCTTACCGTCATATCCAACCCTTCTTCTCCCAACAAGTCCCCCTCCAATTCACCTCGCAATAATGGGCCATTCATGCCTCCATTTAACTCCCAAACTTTCCCATCTTTCTTAACAAATGCAATAAAATGAAACCCACATTCCTCCTGCGGCAAAGGCACAATTGAGCACCCTTCCGATGCTGCATCCATATGCGCCTCTTCCAAAAACCTCGAATCATACAAGAGTCGCGCCCTCTCCACTGGTCCCAGCCCAATCGCGCTCTTCACGATCTTCTCCAGCTCCGATCCCGCCAGGACATATTTCCCATTCTCCAAATTTACCACCACATGTAGCAATGCCATCAACCCACACGCATGTCCGATCGTCTGCTTCATCCATAGCACGGGCTCGTCAGCCCCGCTGCCGAGATACTCGGGTATGCTGTGTTCGACGCGAGACCGCGCGGCGAGGTAGATGGGTTTGTCGCAGAGGAGGATGAGGGCGTTTACGGGTCGTGGGATCCAGGAGAGCATTTCTGGGGTGGTGGAGAGGATGTCATGGAAGGTGAGGCTCGGGGATACTCCGAGGTTCTTACATAGATGTTTATGGACCTCTGGGTTGTTCTCTGTTGCATTGGTGAGATTGGGGGGTCTAGTTTAGCCTGTATGTGGGGGATGATGCACTTACCTAGCGGTATAAAGGTCTTTTGGCCGTTGATGACCTGCACACCTAGGTTAAACATGTTTGGAGATGGACAAAGACTGTTTCTTATTTACAGAGTTGAGGCATATCGTATGTTTGGTATCAGCGGGGGAGAGAGGACAAGTGCTTAGTCATTGCCCTCCATCGGCAGGGCTGCCTATTTGGGTAACATCCAACGTCCATTAAAGAGATTTACTCGATTTCTGTGAAATATCGGTGAGATATCTATTAATTTTGAGATTATATGTATCTAGAATGCTAGATTAGGTGGTATTTGATGTATTCTGAGTTTATTAGAGGGTGATATTCCCTAAATTTGTTAGTGTAGCACATATAAAGTACCATTTAGGGTTAACTGTTCTATATCAGAGCATTAAAGATGAACCTATCGAACTTGGCATCTTGCATGAATCCTGGATTTCTATTGGAATCTATAAATAAATCACATACCCATGTACCTATAACCCCATATCTTGTCCTTACACGTTGCATATAATCGCCTATCGCCTATCAGCGGATAAAAACTTCCCCTCACCTCCCCTCACCTCACTCTCTCCCTCTCTCTATCTCACATCCTCAACTAGAATGGCTACCCTCACAGCTCAGGAGCTGACGACTCTCTCTACCAAGGCAATTGACGCCAAAGCGACTGCCTACTGTATGACCCATCCCCCGGTTCCCTTTAAAACACAAGCACCAGATATCCAGTTCCACAAAAGAGCGGCACCCAACTAACATCCTCCCAGGCCCATACTCCAAATTTCGTGTTGGAGCATGCATCCTCACGACCTCAGGAGAGTTCATCTCTGGCGCTAATGTCGAAAATGCCGCCTATCCAGTCGGAACCTGCGCTGAGCGCGTCGCAATTGGCACTGCTGTTGTATGTTTTCTGTTCTTTTTCCTTGGTCAACTTTGGTTGGATTCTGTACATAAGAACCACCTGATATCACTTTCTTTGTCTGTCTGAACCATCTTCGCTAACTTCCACAGGTTGCCGGCCATAAAAATTTCAAGGCTCTAGCTGTGGCGACGGATATCAAGCCTCCTGCGTCACCTTGTGGGATGTGTAGACAATTGTGAGATTCCCTTTTCTTCTTTTTCTTCTTCTTCTTCTTCTTCTTCTTCTTCTTTCTTTCATTTTATGGTTGGCTCATTGATATTATATAGTATTCGTGAGTTCACCTCGCCTTCTTTCCCAGTGTACATGTACGACGGGGAGGGAAATTACAAAGTTATGACTATGGAGGAGGTGAGTTTCTTTTCTTCTCTTCTTAGATATATCTGCTTTATATCTCTTCGATTCTGTACTGACCAACGTAGTTGTTGCCCGACTCTTTTGGTCCCGAACAGCTTAAATAGGGATAGAGAGATAGGTTCTGTATCAGAGAAAGAAGGGCGGATGGGAGTATAGGAAATATGCATTGGAGTCTTTCAGGGGAGGTAAATACATTTATTGGTGTTTGTTCGAGGAAATATATCAAAAAGTTGAATCCTGGTTTGTCCAATGGAGAATATGCAACTCTCAACCCTAGAGCCTTCACATATAACCCCAACGTACTCCGAAAAGAAAGAAGAAAGAAGAAAGAAGAAAAGAAAAAACTTTATGTCACGCTCATAATGTTGCAAGTCGCAAACCCCAAAAATATCATTTCCAACTGGAAATCAGAAATTGGCAGCTATATCAAAATTCCATACTAAAAACCCTAATCCTAATCCTCAAGCCCAACCCCAAGCCTAAGCCAGCTCCTCCTCATCATCAAAATCATCAGCTCCAAGCAACTCATCCTCATCATCAACAACAGCAGAATAATCACCCCTTCTCGCCGCAAAAGAGCCACGCGTAGCATAAGGTCTTTGCGCGCCCCGTCTCCTAAACAACCCAGACGTACTCCGCGCTAGACTCTTAACAAGTAACGGCAGAGACTGCGCAACGGCAACAACACCCGCGATAATTGCCACAGGTACCGCGACCAGCACCGAGTCCCTAGATAACCAGCTCTGCGACACTCCGCCACCATCGCCCAGCCGGATCTGGCCGAATTTGCCGTCCCAGTGCGTGTAAACATACCAGCCGATGGCGAGGGCAACGGCGATGGGTGTCACGATCGCGAAGAATAGACCCGTTCCGCTGATGCCGTGCTTCTTTTGGTATTCCTTTTCTTTGTTTGGGCATGGTTTGGACACATCTTGGTCTAGGAGCAGGCCACCTTGGCAGGTTGTCTGTGGGATTCGGCGGTAGCCGGTGGGTTCCCAGTACTCGACCTTTTCAGGGTCTTGGCTGCATTGCGCGATGTGGTCTTGGGGTTGGAGTCCTGGGACGAGGCCGCAGCTGCCGTCGGTTTGGATTTCGTAGTTGTAGTCACTGGTTCGTGTTAGTTGGTAGTTCAGATTAGGATAGGTGGTTGTGGTGTTTGCTTACCATTCGAAATCAGCACGGGTACAAGTGCAGTTCCGGCCTATGCTGTGGATGTGTGGCTCACGCCAGGCATTCCAGCACTCAGCGGCAGGTTTCTTGCGGTGGTACTCCTCGACATGGCCGAAGAGACAGTTTTCTTCTTGGAAGGGGTGGCTGGGGGACCAGTTATAGTAATCGTTTTCATCGTCTTTACAGTCGCGGCTCCAAATACCGCTGAAGTCAAGTGTGATGGTGACACGCTTGCCCCCATCCGTACCCCAGAGCAGGAAGCTCTTCGAGGTGTCTGATGGCACGGTCGAGATATCGTCGATGACCATTTCCTTTTCGGCGAACTGGAACTCGTGCCAGCTCATGCCCTCGTCAAGCGTGTAATGTACGACCTTGGTTGCCTTTCGGTCGCTGACGAGCACGATTACCGAGCCTGCCGCACCAAATTCCCACATGTACTGTCCCTTCTTGACTTGCGTCCAGGTGATGCCGCCGTCCCTGGTGAGGTATGTGTCGGCTTCGGCTGCGCTGGTGAGATGCTCACCGACGTTTCCGAGCGCGAGCATCAGGCCGATGGCGGAGCCCGAGTAGAGGGTGTCGCGGTAATCGCGGCGTTCGGTATAGCCATGGAAATGGAGAGCGCATTTATCAGTGCCTCTGCTCTCCGTAACGGAGCAGCCGAACTTCTTGCCATCGACATCTTGAGTCGGAGGAGCCAGAAGCATCCACTGACCACCGTCGTTGTGGGTGATCATAGTGCGTAGCTTCTTGCCCGCGCCCTTGTTCAGGACTTCTTCCCGATTCGAAACCACATTGGCAATGGCCACGCCCTCAAGGCCTTGCAACTCATCGTAGTCCGTGTAGCCGCGGTCGTTGACGTTGAGTCCCTCGAGACTCTGGACGAAGTAGGTACCGTTACTGTTACTCTTGACCAGTGAGCCGAAGCTGCGTTCATTGCCCCCGTTTACCATCACGAGGAGGAACAATGCGTGCGGGGAGCTAGGCAGGACGGTATACTGAGGGACCTTGATGTTGAAAGGGAAGTGTGCATCAGCGTAAGTGCGGCCGTCGACGCTAACGCTGGCATTCAGGTATTCCTTCTGATCTCCTTCATACCAGGCGACGACGACGAACCCATTCTTGGTAGCGGAACGGGCGATGTTCTCAAACTTGACGTCCATGGTAGAGAAATGATCATCACTGGTAACCAGCTGCCGGTTGTTGTTCTTTTCCTCATCTTTATACTGTTCGCAAATCACTAGTTTTTCACTGTTGTTGCGGCCCTCGTGATATCCAAAGTTACAACCGCCGCCGGCGACTCCAATAAGCATCGGGTCCCAACTAGCGCCTCGCTTGTCGGTAACGTACGCCTGCGAGCGACAGTTCTTTCCCTCACAGTCTTTGTGACCAATCCAGATAAGGGAGTCCTGGAACTTCTCATGGAAAGCGAGCGCGCGGATATCCTCCTTGGTCGGCACACTGGGAGCGTCAAAGAAGTGGAAAGAATCACCGTGATTGATAGTGTAGTACACCCTCTTGCTGTCCGTGAGGAAGAAAGCTGCATCACTGAAGTAGGGATGCTGAACCATTTCCGTAAACTTCTCATCAGGGTGGATTTGCTTCCAACTCCGGCCATGGTCGCGCGAGATATGCAGTTCGTATTTGTCCGTGAGCATCATGATAGTCTCATCAACGCCGTTGTTACTGGCCTGTCGTTCGAGGTAGAAGTAGTTTGTACGCGTGGCAGAAATGGTCTGTGGCTTTTCCGCACGAGGTTTGCCATCGGTAATGGGAGGAGGCCCCGTGATATTTGAGCAAGAGCGCTCAATCTGGCGCTCGAGATCTTCGCCGCCTTCACGGATGCATGCGTTGCCGGGGATGAGTCGCCATCCAGAGGGGCCTATGTACTTGTCGTTTGGCTCCTTGCACTTGCCAGCAGGGGGTGTCAGCGGGACAGCCGGTAGACACTCCTTGCGGTCCTCGCTGCGGACAAAGTTGTAGTCGCATTCAAAGTCTTCAGCGGAACACTTGCAGGGTTTGAATTCAGGGCCGCTGATGGCAAACTCTTTCTTGATGAAGCAATCCGCGTTTGCCTTACGGCGCTGGAAGAACTGTTTCTGACCCATCAGACAATCGGGCTCGCCCTTTTCATTTAAACGAGCAGTCCACTGTTCAAGGTCTTCGGGGCCACACTGGCGCTCGTGGAGGCCATCGAAGTCAATGAAATACATGAGGACTTTGGTCTCATCGCTGGAGATACCAACGAGCAAGAACTTGAGGCTGGTCGAATCTGGCGTTGAGATTAGGTACAAAGGCCTGATCTTCTGCTTCAGATCAATCGACTCCCACTCTTTCCCGTGGTCGATGGAAAATTGGACCTTGTCCGTCTGGCTGCTATCCAAAACAGCCATGATAACACCTCCCTGGTCACCAAACTCGTACCGGTGTGGGCCTTTGAGCGCGCGCCGCCACGTAAGACCGGCATTGTCAGAAACATAGAGGTCACCCTTGGAGTAGTCCTCCAGGTGACCTCCAGTGTTACCAACGCCCATGACTAAGCCCGGAGCTGGGCTTGAGAACATACGGTGATCTGGCATGGGCATCTCACGCAGCGCGGCGTAGGATGTCATCGAATG